AGAACAGTGGGAGGAAGGGAGGGGCCCGGATGGTGGAGAGGAGAAGCTGGGACCAGGGCGGGGCTCAGGGTGCAGCTGCAGCTGTGGGCGGGGCCAGCACCCTGGGAGGAGGGGCGTGGCCTGGGAGGGAAAGGACTGGGGGAAGAGGGGCGAGTTGAGGCGGGGTTTCCCACCAGAAGATGGGACTTTGGCCCGGTTCCCGGACAACGTAATAGTCTTTGTCCAGCGGCAGCAGCTTGGCAAGGCCGAAGTCAGCGATCTTGACGTGCGTCTCACTCTCCACCAGGATGTTCCGCGCTGCCAGGTCGCGGTGCACACAGCGGCGGGAGCCCAGGTACTCCATGCCCTGCCGGCGGACATGGGGTCCAGACCCCAGGATGACTCAGCAGGGCACTCTCACCCCCACCCCAGCCTGACCTGGATCCAGATCCCAAGCCTAACCCCACTGCCCCATCCTACACTCCAGTCCTGACCTTAGCCCCAACTCAACCCCACCTCCAACCAGACCTGGACTGGTGCCGCTGCAGGAAGTCGCGCAGGCAGCCGCTGGGCAGGTACTCCATGACCAGCCGCAGGCTCTGGCGGCCTAGGAGGCAGGGAGGCAGGGCGGCGGGAGGAGTCACCAGGGGCCCAGCCCTTGTCTACCCCCTTCCCCGTGCTTCCTCCTGTCCCGAGTGGGACCCTGGGTTCTTCCTGGACTCAGTATTGCTTTCTATAAAACTAGAGGCCAGGTGCACAAAATGCAGCGGCTGCATCGGCTGCCCGGGCTTGGACCGGAACCGGGTCTAATTAGCACATTACGCTTTTATTATTATCGATGGGAAGGCAACAACACTTATTGCTGATGTCTCTTGAGTACTTTGCACCATATATACTGATGCATTGACACCTCAGAATGACCCGTTTTTCCGGTGGGAATATTGAAACTCAGAAAAATCACCCGTCCGCGGTCAGCCCCTGGGACAGGGCGGGAAGTGAGAGCCCAGAATAAATAACAGTGTCCACGGCACCTACTGGTGTTCGCAGACTACCCCAAAGTGGCACTGCAGGGTGGTGAGGAAGTGGGATGCAAAGAGCGCCCATTGGGGCGGGGTGCACCTGGGCCGTAGCTGACGCCGCGGTACTTGACAATGAAGTCGCTGTGCAGGGCTTTGAGGATCTGGATCTCCCGCTGGAAGTCCCTCTGCTGGTCTGGCCCGCTGTGCTGCAGCTGCTTCACAGCCACCAGGGCCCCCGTGTTGTCTCCCAGTGGGTCGTAGCGGCACAGTTCCACACTGCCAAAGTTGCCCTGAGGGAGAGCAGGGCTGGTGTCCACGTGCCTGGGTGCCACCCTGCCCACCCCAGCCCAGCCCACCTCACCTTGCCCAGCTGTGAAATGTACTTGAGGTGTCTCTCCTCAAAGATGGTAGGGTCCTGGCAGGCGTAGAGCTGGGCGCCATTCCACAGCCCGTCATGGGGCGCCAGGGCACCAGGGGTGGGGTCCGAGAGGAGCTCATAATCTGGGGGCCATACACAGTGAGTGGTCTGAACCTGATCTGCTATGTGACCTCAATCTGCATGCAGACCCCTTCTGTGCACATGGCCACCATGAGCCAAAGGGTACTTTGTGGGGCTGAAGTAGTGCCCTCAGGGCCCAGGCAGGTCCCTCAGGCAGGGCACACCCTGTGCCACTACACGTGGCTATGGGTATTGAAGGGCCCTTCCAGACTCCACTGCTGTGAGCTGTGGTCACATGATTGAGCTCAGACTGATGGGGGAGATGCACTCTGCACACCTTCAGGCCTGGCACATGGAAACCTAGAATGGGACCCTCCAAACTCTTTCTCTTAACTACAGAGGATCCAACAGAGACCTGAGGCCCTGGGATGGGTGGAGCCACCAAAGAAGAGGTGCCTGTTGACCTGGACATTGAATGAGAGCTAAACACCCATCGTGTTCAGCCTAGAGCTCAGGTGCTGTTTGTTACAGCTGCTATCAAACTGACCATTACAGCTGACTGTTACAGGACCGACACTCCAATCTTTCTAGGCACACAGATTGGGCTCTGCTCCCACTGGGCCCAGTACCACATGCAGGTCCTCCCACCCCGCGGCCCAAGGAGCACCTGATGTAATGAGGTTGTTCAGGTCACGGATGACAGCGCGAAAGGGGGGCCTGTGGCCTGGCTCGTAGGCCATGCACTGTTGGATCAGCAGGGCCAGCTCCATCCACTTAGGGGCAGGCAGCTGCTGCCGGTCCTCATAAAACTGGAGCTTCTGAGGATGGAAGGAGGCGCTAGGCACCCTGGTGCCCCCTCAGGAGCCCTTCCCGGACCCACATGACCTCCCCCCGCTGTCAAAGGGGAACTCTGACCTTGGCGGGCTCCAGGGTACTGATGGGCATCGTGACACCACTGAACACCTCCCAGACTGTGGCGCCGAAGCCCCACTTGTCAGCTTCCAAGCTAAGTGTCCGGGCCTCCTGGAGACATTCAGGGGCCACCCAGGGGATCCTGTCAGTGAGCACTGTGGGGGCGGAGATGGCACCAAGGGTCACTGCCTTGCCCCACGAGGCCCCTCCTGCCTCCAGCCCTCCGCACTTACTCTCCAGGCTTAGCACAGTGGGGCTGACACCGGGATCACTCAGCTTGATGAAGGGCAGGCTCCCATCAGCCCCCTCTCGAGCCAGGAGCACCTTCCGGGCTGAGACGTTGCCATGCGGAAGGCCTTTGTCCTCCTAAGCGGGCCGGGCATAAGGAGATGCCGGGAGGGTTTGATGCGTGAATATGCTGGCTGCTGACTGCCACGCGCCCTGCAAAGCCCCCCTGGGGCTGCTCAGACCACAGAATCTTCCCTAGAATACTGGCAGCCTGACTGGCCTCCTCTAGTCTACCCGCTATTACGATCCCCCTCACTTCTCGAAAACTGCTCTCCCACCCTGTGGCTGGCTCCCCATTGGCTTCAGGATAAAGACAAAGGTCCGCCCTGACCGGTTTGTGTAAAGATCAATAAAATATATATATTTTTAAAACGACAAAGGTCCTCAGCCTGGAGTTCGAGGCCTCTGGAAGTCCAGCCCTTCTGCATTCCCCAGTGGGAGATGTGCAGGAGGCAGCTGATTGATGTTTCTCTCTCATCGATGTTTCTGACTCTCTGTCTCTCTCCCTTCCTCTCTGTGAAAATCAATAAAATATATATATATTTTTAAAAGACAAAGGTCCTCAGCCTGGCGTTCGAGGCCTTTTGAAGTCCAGCCCTTCTGCATTCTTCCCATGAGCTCGCACCGCCCCCCCCCCGTCTCCTGCCAAGCGAATGAAATGATGCACCCCGACATGAAACGTACCCTCTTCGCTGCAAGGCCTCCGCCCAGGCTGTTCTCTCAGCCTGACACGCTCTCCTTGCTTTCTCCTCATGGTGAGCTCCAGCTCAACCTTCCAGGCCCCGGCTCTTGGGGAAGACTTCCCCTGGCCCTGCCCCATGGCTCACTGCTCCCCGGTGTCTCCCACCCACCATCCCCTTCCCGTAGATACCTTCAGTGTTTCCTTATCTTCCGTCTGAGAGGGCCGTTGAGCCTGTCCGGGTGCCATCCCGTAACCTCTCAGTTTGGAGTTGCATTTCCCTGATGACCAATGAGGTTGAGCATCTTTTCCTGTGGACAGGCTCCGCCTCAGGAGTCACCACACTCTGTGCTGACTGTTCCCTCCCCGGCTCCTCCATCCTCACCCTGCTCACCTCTCCGCCTCCCCTCCCGCTCTCAGAACTCTCTGCCTGAACTGCCTGGAAGGTTCTGAACTCTCTCTGTATCTCACATCTAGCCCTTTGCGTATTTGGTGTCTTCTGCCTAGAACACCCCTCTTCTCTCTCTTCCCTAATTCCTACCGATCCTCACCGCCCCAGAACCGTTGCCTGATCTCCAGGCCGTGTCGGCGGTCTCTGGCCACTGCGGGTGCCCTGCGCTGTCCCCATCGCACACGATCATGTCACCTTGCCAGCCTGTCCCGTTCTCGGCTGTGCACCCAACTCCTGGGGTGAGCTAAACGGGTGGGATGGAGGGTGGATAGGCAGTGTAGCCCTGACAAGTTGCAGAAGGTAGTCAGTGAAGTGACGTTGGAACCAGGTCCGGCTTGAGAGTGTTCTGGGGCTGGTATTGGTGGAAGCCTGGAGGGCAACTGAGGGGCACATGTACAGCCATGGGCCCTGTGTGTGTATTTCTAATGCTGCCATGGAGAGGCTCAGTGAGGCGGTGGGGTGAGGAGAAGGGTGGGGCACAGGGTGTCTTACTGTCTCCGGCCATGCACACGCCATGAAGCAACACGAGATGCTGATACGACACTTGGCTCATCAAACTCGCTGCTTCCAGGAATGACTGGGGAGGTCAGGAGGGAGAGAAGATGCATGGGTTCCTCTCACTCCAGGATCCGACCAGAGGCCCCAAACTTGCAGCTCGCAAACCTGCCTTGGGAGGAGACCTGGCCCCAACTTTTTCTGGGCCTGGGTCCCACTGTGAGTGGACACCGCACGGTATATCATAATTTTCTGACGGCGGCTGGAAGTGGGCACTGCGGTCTACCTCGAGTCTCTCACAGGTAAGTGGGAGATTTGGGGGTTAAGCAAGGCCTAGCCCCTCTGATGCCTCCATCGGCACCACCCCTGTCCTTTGCACACTCCTCTCTAGCCCACGGGCCTCCTCACTGTTCCTCAAATGTGCCACGCTCAGTGCTGCCTCAGGACCCTTGCCCTGGCTAGTGCATTCTTTCCATTTGCATCGGCCATGGAAAGAATGCTCCCCAGCTCTTCTGTACTTCATCATTTGGAGATGCTGTGCCTACATTTCTGTGTCTTTAAATGCCTCTGATTCCATGACCCTCTCTCCAGCCAGCCCTGACCCCAAAGGCCTGGTCCCCACCCGCTCACCTCCATGCAGTGCTTATGCTTAGCATCCAGCACTTTGAGCAGCACCTCCGTCTCCCGAGGCTCCCCGTCCACAGTCTCGTGGCGACAGCCCCGGTAAATCTTGGTGAAGGATCCATGACCCAGGTTCTCACACTGGAGGGTGAGGGAACAACAGGAGAGGCCAGTGAGGGCACTCCTGTGGGATTCCGACCTCCCCCACGCCCCGTCCTGCCCTCTGGCCTGAGCAAGCACAGGCACTGGTCCCATTTTACAGATGAGGAAGCAGAAGCACAGAGAGGTTCCATCACATGCCTGAGGCCACACAGCAGAGGTGGATGCAGACCAGGTCTCTGGACTCCAGCTGAGGTCCCCATCCACCCCTGTTTCCTGAGGCTCCTTACCCACTCCAGGCTGTCAGCGGCGATCTTGTGAAATGTCATCTGACTCAGCTGGCATCCCGAGTGGGGCAGAACAGGGGATGATGTGGGTGGACTGCAACCTCTCCGGACCACAATCAGGTTGGACTTTTCTACAAGGAGGGGGTGGAGAGAGAAAAACCAGAGGTCAGAGGTAAAAGACCCTCAAAGGTTTGCTCACTTCCTGTCTTAGTTTGGAGTCGCCCCAGAAAGCCGGCCCTGAGATGAGGACTCCGGGGCACAGGGTTCACTCGAAAGGAGACTGCAGGTAGCCCCTGGGTGAGGGGTTGGGGAGTGAAACAGAGAGGGAAGGAACCTGCGGGGGGTGCCAATGAGCAACCAGAGCTATGGTCAACCGGGTCTTAGGATTGCCCCGGGCTCTGGGAGACTCAGCCCTCACACCACAGAGCTGCCCCATCACAGGGGTTTGTCTGAGAGTGAAATTCACCCAGAGGGAAGGGCAAAAGATGAAGGGGGAGTGAGTGCTAGTGGCATCCCTCCATCAGATTCTGGGTTCAGCTGAAGGCAGGAATCTACCCCACAGGCCAATGAACCCACTTTTTTTCCCTAAAGCACTTGCATTTTCTGCCACTTGCCACCCAAGAGCTGTGACAAACAGAAGAGCATGGCCCCAGATGACTCCTCAGCTCAAAGGAGAGGGCGGGCTCACCTTTGGGCCTAGGGGTGCAGCAGAAGGTGAGGTTCAGAGCAACCCCGTCTACATGCAGACCACCGTCCCAGCAGGCCGCCAGGAGCTCTCGGAGACTGCTATGGGGTCGGCCAAGGCCAGCCAGGGAGAAGGTTCCTGTGGGGTCGCGCCGGATGAGGCAGCCCTTGTAATCGGGGCCCAGCGGGGTCTGCAAGGAGGAGTGGTCCCTGAGTGGGAGTAGGCCACCCTGCTCGCTCTCTCCCTCTTCCTTGAGCACTACAGCACTCCAAGCCTTTGCACATGCTGTTTCCCTCCACTGGGAATGTCTTTCCCCTTCCCTTCTTCAGGAAGCAAATGCTCACACATCTTTCAGGTCTCCACTCAAATCTCACCTCCTCCAGGAAGCCCTCCCTGACCTCCTGGGTCCTAGCCCGTGGACTAACCTGGACACACACAGTGAGGAGGAAGCTGTCGAAATCCTGGGGGCTGCGGCGGAGAACGTAGGAGCCAGGAAGGGAGCCTCCAGTCTTGAGCTTGTTGATGGCAAAATCCAGGCTTGAGGAAAGGTGGAAGGGAACCAAGATTGCAAGACAAAGAGATGGAGGCAGAGAAACCAAGCCAGGCCTGGTTTCTAACTCTGGTCTCTCTGAGGCCCTGGGATCCTCACCAGGTAACCTTCCCTCCCTCCCCCGTATGGAAAATGGGCCAAATGATGAGTTTCTGTCTAAGCGATTAAACAAGAAAAAATGGCCTGGGACCCCAGGCGTCAGAGGGAGGGACATGGTTGCCGGGGCAGCAAGAGACCCCAGCCTCTTTGAGTGCTGACTATGCACCAGCTGCTGTCCAGCACTTGACCCCTCACCCAGGGCTCCTGGACACTGAGGCACCAAGAAGGGGAGTGACCAGGGTTGGACCCAAGTGGAACAGGCTACCCAGGGCGGGTAAGGAAGGCCGGTCTTTACGTGATGGGGCCGTGGCACTGCTGGGCCACCTCCTCCAGCAGCCGCGGCGGCGCCACCTCCTTGCAGAAGTAGTGCTGGGAGTCCGTGGTCAGTCGGAAGTAGCCGTCCACGAGCGCCACGAAGGACAAGGAGGCTGGCAGCCCCGGGAACTCAGCCTCCTGCGAGGGGCCGAGGGGCCAAGGGCCGTGTTAGCGCCTGTTGTGGTCCCCGCTCTCGGGGAAGTCTGAAGAGGGGCGTCCAGCACCCACCAGGATCTGGTTGTCTGTCCTGGTGATTGTGACCAGGCGATGCTCCCCAGCTGGGCCAACGCGCGGGGCCTGCTTGATGCTGATGTCCACGATTTCTGGGAAGTCGCAGAAAGGCTGGAAGACCTGGGAGGGAGGCGGGGCCTGAGGGCGGGAGTCCGCTTTCTCGGAGCCCCCAAACGCTCTTGGAAGCCTGAACCCCACCAGTCCACACAATGAATCCCGCAGCTCGCAGCCGGGCCCAGTCCATGCCTTTCCCACCTCGCCCCTGCCAAGCCCCCCCTTCAACTAATCACACCCCTCTCGACCCCTGCCCTGCCCATCCCCAAATTTCCCCCACCCGACCGACCCCTGCCAAAACCCTCCTCCATCTCAGTGGGAACCTTCCCTGAGCCCCTCCCTTGCTGAGCTCCACTTGATTTCCCCGCCTCTCAGTCCAGTCGGAAGCCCCACCTCCTCTCTTAGTCCCGCCTCCTCCCTGTACCATCGGTTCGCTCCACCCAACCAGCTCCCTCCCTCTCAGCCCCGCCCATTCTTATTCCCGCCTCCTCGCTCAGCCCCGCCTCCTCACTCAGCCCCGGCCCTCACTCTGCTAGCCACTACCTGAGCCCTCCCAGTCTCTCCCCAGAGTCGGCCCCGCCCCCAAGAGCCCTGCCCCTCTCCCTCCCCTCCCACATAGGCCCCGCCCCCGCCGTTGGCCCCGCCCAGATTCTGCGGGCACCTCCTGTGCTCCTGGACTCCAGGCGATGCCGCTACTACCAGCCACGCGGAGCAGCCCCTTCGCCTCTTGACCACCAGCCGACCCAGGGAGGCCCACGACGAAGGTCTCCGTGGCCCTCGCCAGGTCCAGTCTCTCCAGGTCCATGATGTACTTGGCCATGAGTGAGTGTCTGTCAGCCTGGCAGGTGGCCACGCGGAGCAGGGCCTGGCGCACCCTCCTCCGGATGCGCCTCCGCGTAACGAAGCTCAGGCCCTGGATCAGGTCGCGCAGGCCCGGGGGCAGGCAGGTCTTGTAGCTGTGAGTGGGGGGCGTGGACTCTCAGTGTGGGAACGAGTCCCGGCAGGGACTGGCAGGGACACACACCACCCAGGCTGTGTGAGGGGCCCTCGTGTGGCCTGTCTGTAGGCATGGGGACACACTCAGGGGCGTGCATGGGAGCAGGGCCTCAGTGTGGTGAAGGTCATTGGGGCCCACAGGACAGACAGGGACACGGGCAGGCCTTCGGGGGCAGGAGGCAGGGCCCTGGAGCCGCAGTGGGGCATGGGACTGGATCGAGGCCTGGGTCATCACATGGACACACTGCAGGCTTGTAGGTAGGGAGCCTTATGGGGTTCCTGAGTTCTGGGAGGCCCTGGTGGGGCCATGTGTGCGCACTCCGAGCTAGCAGCGGGGCACAGAGCCTGGAGGCCCTCACCTGACGGTCTTCAGCAGATCCTCGGGCTGCTGGGCCTGCTCACAGGCCATCCGGGCCAAGTCCAGCACAGCCAGGCTGAGACACTCGCCCTGCTCCTTGAGGCTGAGGCCCACCGGAAGGCGGCCACTCACCAGGTCATTGCGGTGCTGGGAGCCGGTGATAGACCGACTGTGAGCCCTGAGGTTGTCCTGTGGCCCCCATCCCCCGCCCCTGGGCTGACCCCCATCCCTGGGTTGCCACAGGGAGGATCAGCCAAGGCCACCCCTGAGGTGGCTCTGCAGACCCCCAACCCTGGGCCAGGCCCCACACAGACCCCTACCTGAGCAAATAGGTATTCCAGGACTGGCAGGTCAAGGATGGCGCTGGCCAAGTCCTTTCGAAGCCCGAAGCGGTGACACGTCTCTAGCCCAAACCAGTTGGGGAAGTAAAAGCTGTGTAGGGGAGGGGAGAACCCTAGAGTGTGGGGTATTGGGGGGGAGAGGGAGGTAGAGGACTGTGCTAAGACCTCACAGAGCCCAGGGTGTGCCAATGAATTGCTGTGTGACCTTGGGCAAGCCACCTACCCTCTCTGGTCTCAGTTTCCACATCTGTAAAATGGACAGTGATCACACCCTTCCGGGAGCGCTCATTGTGAAGTACAGGGAAATGATACATTGTAGGATCACTGTTTCAAACTCCCATTTCCTAAGCCCTCAGGGCATGGCATCCTGCAAAGGGGGGGGGGGCGGTGGTGAGGGGTCCTCCAGGGCCAGAGCAAAGAGGGAGTGGTACACGGGCAGGATGCCTGAGGGGAGGCCCTTGTCAGCTCCCTCCTGGTCTCCGCCTGTCCTCTGCGGCCCCCCAAACAGTGCACCGGGCTCTCTGGCACCTTCAGCTATGACACTGCTCCACCCCTGCTCACACACACTCCAGAGCTCCCATTGCCCTCAGGAGAGAAGCCACTCCCCATCTTCTCAGGGCTCTCTCCCCATCTCCCCAGGGTATCTGTCTCCCCTGTACTCTTTACCTGGAGGATGATCAGCTGTTTTCCCTCCTGTGCTATCACATGCCATTCCCTCCTCCCTTACCAAACTCCTATTCATCCCGCAAAGCCTCAGTTCCCATGCTGACTCAGGCTGGCAGCTATTCTAGCTCCCAATCCGGGCCCCTCACTCCTACCCATCCCTCTGACCCCACATTTTAAGGGCCCACTCACCACTGGCCTTAGCAGCCCGAACACACAGCTCTTCAGCCGAGTGGTCCCCAAACGAAAAGGTTAGGCGCTGAGGGGGCCCAGGACCCCGAGAGGGCAGCAGCACATGCAGGGCACCAGCCTCAGAAGACGAGAGGCTGTAAGAGCGCTCGGGGATCAGGGGTGTCTCTTCACCGGGAGGCGCCATAAGTGCAGCTGCCTGGACAGAGAGGGGCAGGCCCTGAGTTCTGGGCAGAGGGCCAAGACGACATAGAGTAAAACCTTGATATTACAGACTAGTTGGGCAAGGCGGGGGTCCATTAAAGCCAAGAGCCCATTCTATAATAAAGTGGCTTTTCTGAATGTGTATGTTAAAAAATTGACAAATTAGTTCGTTTACCTGTTTTTTACTTATGTAGACACATTTGTGTGACTAAAATTAAGTATGTGTGGCCCTGGCCGGTGTGGCTCAGTGGTTGAGCATTGATCTATGAACCAGGAGGTCATGGTTGGATTCCGGTCAGGGCACATGCCTGGGTTGTGGGCTGATCAATGATTCTCTCTCAACATTGATGTTTTTATCTCTCTCCCTCTTCCTTCCTCTCTGAAATCAATACAAATATATATTTTAAAAGTCAAGTATGTAGGAACAGTTTAATTTCACAGAAAATTTTCTATGTCTATTACTGTAATTTTAAGTTTATACTGAATAGGTCTAGTAAATGCACGCACTCACCAGCCACAGAGAGTAAACAGTGCACAGGGCTGGGTGTGGCTCAGTGCACATTGGAACACGGGCCTCTGCAGAAAGTCACACCAATGGACACAGAACCAGTTGCGTGATGGGTGACCACGTGCTAATCGCTCCGGAACATTGTTTAGGAGCGGTGACTCTTGGACTTAAATATGTAAACTATAGTTGTAGATATGTAATATTTATTTCTGTTGGCGAAATTATTAGTGTTTTTTCCCAACATATGGCCTATTCGCTAAAATTTGTTAAAAATAACAATGAATTGCCCTAGCTGGTTTGGCTCAGTGGCTAGAGCATCGGCCCGTGGACTAAAGGGTCTGGGGTTTGATTCCAGTCAAGGGTATGTACCTTGGTTGCTGGCTTGATCCCGGCCCTGGTCGGGGCTCCTGGGTCTCTCACATCGATGTTTCACTCCCTGTGTCTCTTCCCATCCCTTCCACTCTCTCTAAAAATCAATGGGAAAATATTTTCAGGTGATAATTAAGCAAAAATAATAAAATAACAGTGAATTAATAACAAAAAAAACCCTCTGTTAATTTAAT